ATTATCCCCACCCTATGATTATCAGGGACATGGGATCACGGGCTCCACGGAGGAGGTAGTGTTGGGGAGGACGTTGCAGAGGTCACTAGTGGCAGATCGAGTAGATTTGGGAGATGTGTGATATGTCAGCGGCGAGTGAGCGGCGGAGCGAAATCTTCAAGCACAGTGTGTAGAGCAGCATTCGGGGCAAGTGGATCACGAGTTTGCAGGGGGCTGAAACGCTTACGCAGTAGACTGACTGTGGGGGCAGGGTTGCAGTGGATCTTGAGACTGCTTGGGTCTGTCGCTTCCTTAGTGCTAGATCGACCGTTATTCTTTTTTCTTTCATGGCCAATCCCGATGCGTCGAGCTGGTCAGATGTGGGTATGCTCGCCCTGATAGTGGGCGTAAGCCTGTCGGCTGCCGCCAAAGGGAGCCGCCACGCTCAGGGGCAACGTTAGGGGGGCCGAGTTTCGAGGCTGAGGTTCGATGATCGGTGCGTCAGTTCACGGTGGCTGTCCAGACTCGGGATGCTCTCCAACAGTTGCGAATTTCCGAGGGCGTTTTGAGGGTGCCCGGATCGTCCCGAGCGGCCGTTGGGGACTTGAGTTATGACCCGAAAACCAGGGGCAGCGCAATCAGGTCGCGACGAGGGCCGCCAGGAAGACTACGTTGTCGCGTGGTTGTGGTTGCGGTCCTGGCAGCCGAGACCTGGCATGTGTTGTTGATGGGCGCGACTAGTTCGGTGCAGCCCAGTTCTGTGCAGACCTGCCCCCCCAAAGAAGAAGAACATGTTCGGACTGCGCCCGTAGCACACACCCGGACCGCCTCTCGTCTTTGGTGTTGTTGTTTTCGTTATGCCCCGTGCCTTTCCCAGATATGTTTGGGCAAATCATTCGCAGACACTGGCCCTGAAAACTCAATAGAAGTTCTTGCTGCTTTGGGATCAGGGCAGCGACAGTCGTCAGATGCCTGCAGTGGCACGCAGATGGAGGCATCCTGTAAATAGACCAGAGGATCAAAGGACGGCGATTGAGCGGCGGAGCGAAATCTTCAAGCACACAGCGTATAGATCAGCATTCGGTGCAAGTGGATCACGAGCTCGCATGGGGTTGAAACGCTTACGCAGTAGACTGACTGTGGGGGCAGGGTTGCAGTGGATCTTGAGACTGCTTGGGTCTGTCGCCTCCTGCTCCTCAGCTCGAGAGATCGACCGTTCTTCTTCTTTCACGGCCAAGCCCGATCTGTCGAGCTGGTCAGATGTGGGTATATTCGCCGTGATCGCAGGCGTCTGCCCAAGGTTGCCTCACTGCCCGTTACCGGGTCTCTGTTGCCTACTACGGCAGGCAGCGTGTTAGCGAGGACCAAGTGCGCTTGAGCTACAAAAGCCGAATGGGAGCAGGACCGCTGTCCGACTCGCTCTACGACGCAAGCCCGCCTGATGGTGGCGCGCGCAGTGCATGCAGGTATCGATGCAATATGGGTCGCGCGCGTGGCTCGCTTACCTGTTCGAGCTTCGTACCAGTACTGTTCGCTTCTTTCTGTGCCTTCCATTGCCTAGCACTCTCGGCGCATCGATCTTGCATGGGTGTTCGCTGGATCCTGTCGACACGCAACATGTTTTGTTGTATCAATTTTATCGTCTGCTTTACTCCTCCATCCATCCTCCTCCCTCCTCCATCATCCATTTTCGCTCATCTCCCCGCCTCTTTCTTCCTCCCTCCCCATTACTTATGTATCCCTCACTCTCTCCTTCTCATCCTTCCTTATTCCTCCTTCGTACCTCCCTTTGCCTCTTGCCATCCCCTTCGCCTACCACCTACCTCACCCGTTATCCCCTCCATTCCTATCGCCCCCATCCTTGCTATTTCCCTCCTCGTTTCTGCCTTCCCCTCCCTCCCCCGCTTCCCCACCCCCACCCTCCCTTGCGTCACTGCTTCGCTCACTCCCCGCCCCACCTGCCACGGGCCCCCTGGTAGTCTCTCAGCGCGCCCCCCCTCCCCATTATCAACGTCCTAGGACATGCATGTCCTGGAGAGTGCTCCGGCCAGGAGTTCGAGGCGGATTCAGCCATGGCGACGGCACTCCCAGGCTCCTCCTCCCCTCCCCTCCTCATCCTCCCTTCGCCCCAACTCTGGGAACTATCAACATGTCCGAGCTCACGTAGACCCCTAGCCTACCAAGCGCAGGAGTAGGACCTCTGCAGTACCAGAGCGCTTGTTGGCGCGCGTTCCTGCTAGAGGAGGGGCTTGCCACGACAGGGTCAGGGCCAGCTTGACTGCAGACGATACCTATACGACCACCCTTCGGGTGACAAGGAGGTTGTGGGGGGGGGAGAGGGGGGGAACCAACATCTGACTCAATCGATCTCACTATCGATCTCACTCAACGGGACACCACGGGACACTTGTCGATCTCACTATCGATCTCACTATCGATCGCACTCAACGGGACACCGCGGGACACCTCTCGATCTCACTATCGGTCTCACTATCGATCTCACTATCAATCTCACTCAACGGAACACCGTAGGACACTACGGGACACCTCGGGACACCACATCGATTTCATTATCGATCTCACAATCGATCTCACTCCACGGAACATCACGGGAAACCACGGGACACTTGTCGATCTCATTATCGATCCAATTATCGATCTCACACCACGGGCCACCACGGGACACCTCGGGGCACAGTATCGATCTCACTATCGATCTCACTCAATGGGACACCACGGGACACCACGGGACAACTGTCGATCTCACTATCGATCTCATTATCGATCTCATTTTTGGGGGCACCAGGGGGAACCACGGGGCGCCTCGTGGCACCACATCGATCTCACTACCGATCTCACTACCGATCTCACTATCGATCTCACTCAACGGGACACCACGGGACACCACGGGACACCGCGGGACACCGCGGGACACCGCGAGCTAACGCCGGACGGACGGACGGACGGGCGGGCGGGGGAGAATCATTTGTTTTTACGTCGCCCTAGCAACGGCGGACACCACGGGACACCGCGGAACACCGCGAGCCACCGCTGGACGGGCGGGAGGGGGACAGTCGTTTGTCTTGACTTCGTCCTAGCAACGGCGGGTTCACTCCTCTCGCGCGCCCACGCAGCTTCGCCTCGCCCGCACGCACGACACGAACGAAACGAAACGATTTCCCGGTTGGGGGTCTCCGTTCCCCTGGCATCTCACCCCCCAACCTCCGACTACTATGCTTAATGCAGCAGACGACGTGTTTGGTCCGATTCATGTCTTGCCTTGTCTTGTCCCCCACCCCCCCTGCGGGCAGCAGGTACATTCCATAGTTGGTCCGGCTGCCCGCCACTGGTGTCTTCCAGGCCCGTCGAGTTTCCAGTTCCTTGGTTCCTCCCTTCTTCCAGCTGGAGTTTCCAGTTTCTCCCAGGAGTCACCGAAGATGGAGTGAAGTAGCGGTGAGACGAGCTAGCATTGGTGATATGCATGACCCTCTCAGTTGCGGATCAGAGTGAGGGGACGGAAGTGTCGTCGTTAGTCTGCACGTTTTTGAAGAAGGCATCCGCAGGCGCCGGCCGAATTTTCGTCAAAGCAATGTTGGTGGGTCGAGGGTGGGTCGCGAGTGAGTCGCGGGGTGGGTCGTGGGCTGGGCTGCGGGTTGGGTCGCGGGAGGGTCGCGGGTGGGTGACTTGCGGGTCGCGAGCGAGGATGACGACAGCAATAACATTAAATCATACTATTCGTTTTTGTTTACGGCTTCCATCCAGTATGTAAATCCCGAACCTTCGATACCCGCCCTCTTCGTCTTCGATCGTACGCCCATTGGGGGTGTATCTTTCTTACCTGCCACGTGCAGTTGACGCAGCCATTAAGATAGGGGAGGTGAGGGAGGAGGCAAGGGACAAGGAGGAGAGAAAAGGATGGAGCACGACACAGATTAGCAGGAGCGGGTTCGGAGCAGGAGAACAGGCGGCAGGACCAGACGGGCGGGTCGGGCGGGCGAACCCTAACGGGCGGGTCGAGCGGGCGGGCCCAGACGGCCATTTGAAGCGTCGGTCCGCATGAGTCGCGAGGAAGTTTCCAGCGATAGTGCGATGTCCTATTAGATCGTTAGGAAGTCCAGATGGAGAGCATGATTCCTGAGTGTCGAGGGTGCGGCGTCGCATCACATTTCGAGGATGTTCCACGCGAGAGCGCGACCAGTGCATACATAGTGAGGAAGACCCGCGGGAGAGCGCGATTGTTCATTCATTGTGGAGAGAGAAGTATGAACGCGGGAGCCGTTGTTGTTGTAGTTCGGATGCCAACAGCCCAGTCTGAGACTGAAGACTTTCACTTGCAAACATCCGGGTGCGAGCTTCGGGATGGGACACTTCAATCGAGAAACACAATGGGCTCCGGAGGGAGGGAATCAATAATAATCATTCTTTGGAAATGAGAATTCAAGCAGAGTCCGCGCGGCGGAGTCCCACATCTGCCAAGTACGCAGGGATGGTGTAAGACCAGTCGGCTCCAGTTTGACTATCTGGAATTTCTGCACCGGCCCATACATCTCTTTCGGCTATACCGCCGTATTGGCCTATCTGCCAGTTTGGGTGTGCAGGCCAATTGATGGCTGCACTTCTCTTTCGCATCCTCCCCAGGCCGAGTGTATAGTTGCCCTCTGATTTTCCGCACAGTCGTTTCTAGCGCTTCGCGGCTTCCGCCGCCTTTTAGCTTCTGTATTCTGGGCCGCTTGGAACTCAGGGCTGGGCCTCCCTTCGCTGGGGAGGGTAGCAGGTAGCAGTCGAAACAAGCTCTCGGCATGAGAGCCTGCAGCAATACGGCCGCAGACTGCTAGAATTCCGAATCCGACCGACCGATTTCCTCCTTCCTGTTAGGTCGCAGTTCTATGGGATGTTATACTCAGCATCGGCGCCGGTAGTTCTTTTTGTCTTATGCGGCATTGTACGGCTCAATCTGGCTCAAGCCGGCTTCATCTAGTGCTCAGTCCGGCTTATCCGTTTTAGCACCCCGATTCATTGGGTTTGACAGTCCGCAAACAGGATAAATCTTTCCAGAACGCTCTCATAGCGTTCCAGAGCGCTCTGAAACGGCCGCGACGCCCGAGGCATCGTCTATCCCCGCCAGCTCTCAAGAACTCCCGATTTACCTTCATTCAGATGTATCCTCACCCCGCCTTCGTCTTAAATCTGGTCCCCACGACCTGGTAAGGCTTCAGGTTGCGCACAGAGAGCTCCCCTAGGTAATTTCAGCTGGCATCAAGCCTGGGGAGTGGAGTTTCCGAGGAGTGCCGCAGTAGGCGGCGCCAGGGCGTTGAGACCGACCCTGGCTTCTCGGGGGGGCCTGTCGAGGCTGGCTGGGACCATTCTGGGGGCCTGTTGAGGCCAGCCGGGAGTACCTGGTCTGCGCGCAACCCGAAGCCTTGCCACCGTTATCCTCCTCCTCCTCCTCCTCCTCCTCCTCATCCCCCTCTTTCTCCTCCGCAATTACTCAATATGAATACTATTCTCCCTCTTCCCCTGATGACGGTTTGAAAGTGCTCGACCCCCCCCCGCGTACTGTTTTTTTACACACAGGTTTCCCTGGAGTTGGGTTTCGCCTGCATTTTTTTTCAAAATGCTGCTCTCGCTGAGGCGCCGGCCTCATTTTCGGGCCCCGCTCGTTCCGAATCGTGCTCCCGCTGCAGCGCTGGCCTCATTTCCGTGCTTCCGCTCGTTCCGAATCGTGCTCCCGCTGCAGCGCTGGCCTCATTTCCGCGCTTCCGCTCGTTTCGACTCGTGCTCCCGCTGCAGCGCTGGCGTCATTTCCCGTGCCATGCCACGGCATGCAATGCAATGCCGCTTTGCGGTGCTCTTCTACGCCATGCCACGTGCATGCAATGCAATGCTAGTCGATATTACGCTTTGCGGTGCTCTTCCACATGTCATGCCGTGCTCTACGATGCATCGCGTACCCTTTCGGGATCATTGCCCTGCTCGACATCCGACTGTGCGAGTAGAGAGGGGATCTACGCCATGGTAAGGGATGGGAGGGAGGGGTAGGATGTCCGATATGACGCGAGCGCACCTAGCTTGTCCTCATCCCCTCTCTTCCCTCCCTCCCGCCCAGCAGGACGGGTCGGCCAGGAGGAGAGACGGGCGCGGCTGAAACCACTTAACGATTGGTTCGGCAAGGTGGAGGCCTGCCTGCTGGCCGACGTGGTGCAGTGGTTGAAGGACGCCTCGCGCGCGTGGTGCGGGGACATTGACATTGTCGCCCCTGGAAGGAAACTCGGCATCGTTGTCCAGATCCCCATCCCCTCTGGACAACGGTATCTCAGCCCTGCCAGGCCTCCCCCAAGATGGCGCGAAACCCTAAGGGCACAGCATAGATGTTCCCGGGCTCGGAGGCCCGCGCCCCCCCCCCCGCCCCCCAACCCCTCAGATGGGATGGGTCCCAGGGCCCCGCCGGCCCCGCATCCCAGATGGGATGGGAGGGGAGGAGGCGGACGACGACGACGCCGACGTCGAAGACGACAGCGAGGACGACGACGACGCCGACGTCCTCTGGACCTCTTCTGGAGTCCAAGACCCCGTGTTCTGGAAGGTTGCATCCCCTGCGCTCCCTTGAGCACCACAGCACCACATCACACTCACAGGCACTGCAGCACCACCCCATACCAACATGGAGGGGGTACCCATCGGGGGGGGGGCCATACCATTAGCATTGGGGTGGGGGTGCGAGCGGCCAGGGCGGAGGACAGGGAGGAAGAGGCTAGACGATCGGTGTAGGCCTGGCCCGATCGAGCGAGGAAGAGGAAAACGCCATCGGAAGAGAAAACAGACGGAAAGGTGAGGAGAAGGCTGACGGAGAACGGCGGCCGCGTTTGGAGCGCACTCGTGCGCTGCGGCCGTGAACAAGCATTGTTTAGCTTCCTCTCTCGCACGCCGCGCCTCCCCCATCTCAACATCGGGCTTGCATTCCTCTTCTTGATCGGCATCCGAACCAACACAGTTCATGCGTTGGCCTCCGCTGTCCATCTCGCATATGCTCGCCATGCAGATGTCGGCATATTACTCGTCACCCATGCTCCCTATCCTCACCTCTCCCAACCAACGCAAGTGCAACTACATCTCTCTGGGGTGCGATCCGTGTGAAAGGTGTGCCGAGATGGGGGGAGGGACGCCATGCGAAGTTTGTTGCTTGGACACGAAAGTGGAGCTTACGGGGGGGGGGTCACGATCCGTGTGAGATGAGAGCAGTGCTCAAAATAGCAAGGGGACGTTTTGTGAATCTTGCTTTGGGGCCGTAGGTCTCGACTCAATCCGCGTGACTGGCACTTGTATAAGTCAAGCCCCAACCTGAGCGCGCGTTTCGCGCCGCCGTCGCTGTAGCCATGCCACTGCTGCTTTCACGTGTTTGCACAGCTTCGCAATGAACATTACGCATATGTCCCTTCCGGTATTTGGTCTCTGTCCGGCCCGCGTCATGGATTCTTGGTTTACTTCATGCTCAAACCATTTTTGGGTAACGACTTCAGTGGGTATGTGACCTTACCCAGGGCTGCGGCTGACTAGAACACAAGCGTGCGCGAAGCGCGCGTGGTTCTAGTATGTAAATGTCAATTCACATATAGATGTATATCAACCGATTCATTGATCGGGCTTTTTCTTTTGTTTTTTTGTCTGCTTGCGTTCTGGGGGCGAGGGTCAGGGATTATGTCTGCTTGTATTTCGTCGAACGCGACGAGGGGACAGGGGCGACGAGGACGTGGAGGAGGAGGAGGAGGACAGCACTTAGAGGACAACGATAACGACGAGGACACATCAGATAATACGGATCGGATAACGAGGATATCGACTATGACAATGACAATGACAATCACAATGGCAATTACAATGACATAACGAATATGAATCATATGACAATTACAATGACCACACAATGACCACGCGGATGGCGGTCACCAGCACGAATAATTGTAAGTTTGATGCCGCTCAACGTAGTCTAAGCGCTACATGAGAATGGCGATGGTGAATCATATTGTCGGTAATACATTATTTGGGTTTGTGAATATATTACAACGCAAGTTTAACTCATTTTGCGTTGCAAGAAATTGCCACATTGCAGTTCCAAAAGTATGGTGATCGGATCAGAGGGGGGTACGCGCTCTAGCTGGAGGGCCAGAAGCACGAGGCCCTCATGCAGGGCCTGGCCGAAGGGTCCCGCACGGGCAGGCACGCTCGAGCAGACGCTGTGCGATGTCTGCTACGCCCACCTGGTGGTGAGGCGCGTCGACTCCTTGCTGCGCCGAGCGAGACTCTGGTCAATCTTTCTCCGCCTCCACAGGTGGCAGGGGGTGGCCAGATGGGCGGATGCGCCCCGTCACGCCCCGTATGTTGCCATGGCTCTGGAAATTCTTGGGCCGCCAGGGTGCCCTGAACGGGCCGGGTCGTGGCGGTCACGGCGGCGTTTTTCTTTCACGTTGCGCGTCTCGGAGGATTTGGTACGACCAGGGTGCAGCAGGAGTACCAGCCGCGTGGTGCAGGGCAGCAGCGAGGAGGGCGCAACGAGAACAGCCGGCCCCGCCCACCGGATGGTGAAGGCAGGGTGGTCCACATCACCGGGAGCAAGACGGACCAGTACAATTTGGGATGCGTGCAGAACCAGTAAAGGACGCACGCGGCCCCTTTGCCTGGCTGGTGCGTTGGCGACGCTGGAGGGCCATTTTCCTCAAAGGTTCAGGGGGTCGGAGTGATCCTTCCCCTGTTCCGATGGGCGGATGGGACGCCCATCAAGCGGGAGGAGGTCCATCTTTTCCAGCGTGTGGCGGCGGTGGGGAATGCCCTTGAAGTCCACGAGGTGGGGTCGCGCAGCCTGCGCGCTAGGGGCGCGACCTCGATGCGCCACGTGGTCGCCGACCTGCAGCGCATCGGGCGCTTAGGTTTGTGGGCCCTCGGACGGCTCCCGCGCCTGTCCGTGGGAGTCCCACGAGCCCATGCGCGAGGTGGCACAGAGGACGGCCTTGGACGAGTCCTCCCTCGCGAAGCCTGGTCGCGACGGCGCCGGCGAGAGCCACCAGGCCCTGGTCTCCGAAACCCACCCGGAGGGTGCCGCCGACTGTGACAGTGCCAGGCGAGCGCCAGACGTCGGTGGCTGAGCAGCACGGGGTAGGAAGCAGAGGAACTGGCGCCAAGCCGAAATGGCTTGCCCGAGCAGGGTCGGCGTCGTCCGCGGGTTGGCTCTCGCGGGCTGGGCTTGCGAGGCCCCGACGGTCGGGGCCCCCGGGTCTGACGAGGGCAGCAGGATCGGCAGCCTCGCCAGGTCACGCTGCCAGACCAGCCGTGGCCCACGGCAGCGGGGGGGGACAACGGCCAACAGGAGCCTTTCAAGAGCACGAGGGAGCCCTTGCAATGAAACGGCTTGTGCTCCAATGTGGCAACCCATGCGTTGCAAAAGGTTTTTGTGTGGTAACTTCTTGCGATTGGCTCGAGAAGTTGGCATGCCTGTCAACACGGCCCAATTGCCACCGCTTCCAAGTCATGAGAGCCTCGTGCGCCGCTGTCGACTCCAGCATGCGCGCGCGACCTGCTGGGGCGAACTGGACCGCGGGTTGAGACAGGGGCATGCTTTGGTCTGGCATGGTCTGGCAGCTTGAGGAGCTGCCACGGGGGTCGTTGGTGCCGCGTGGCTGGCTGAGAAGCGAGGACCTACGGCGCGCGCAGCTGAGCTAAAGTTACCCAGGGGAGGTGCCTGAGCCTGAATGCCGGCGGTGTCCCTTAGTTACGTTGCGCATTCTGCGTACCTTGCCTGCCCTGTAAATGGCTGTTTGTCTCATGTCCAACGTGGGCTCAACGCGGATTCGAAGCGGATTTGGCATGAATTCGACGGGATCCCGATGCGAATTCGGGACGGATTCTACGCGGATAGCAGCACGACAGGACAGTCACGGGGTTCCCTGGCGATGCAACAGAACTTCAGGATGCATCGCCGACATGGCTCGATGTGGCACCCTTGTCGCCACGCCGATGCATCGCCGACGTCGTCGATACATCGGCGATGCGGCGCGATCCTCCGACCTTCTCGACCCCATCCGGGAGGCCTCTCCGTACGTATGCGGGGGATGGGTGGCGACCAGGCTCGTGCGGCCCACTTTTTCGGGTTCCTTTCCACTTCTCCCCCGGGGGCCTGGGACACTCTTGACGGGGTCATTTGGCTACATTTGCAGCTGATTCTGGGATGACAGGGGGGCAAAGGAGGAAGGAGAGAGATAGACGCTCGGTCACGAGCCAAATGCTCGCTCCTTCTGCTCCCTCCCCCCGCGGAGGACCGAGACATACCGTTCGAGCCGAAGAGCGTTCTGAGCGACGTTATCGACGCGGTTGTCAGTGCGCATGTCTCGAAGGCCATCCACAGACAGGTGGAGAAGGCGGCGGAGGGCTAGGGTGGGGGCGCGGGCCTGATCCTCGTTCTCCTCCTGTTTCTTCTCCTCCTCCTCTTCCTCCTCCTCCCCTTCATCTGGCAGAGAGAGAGAGAATAACAAAAAATACTCCGACGGAAAGACCCCACATGATAATCCTCTCGGCTAGTCTGCAAAAAAACCGTCACCGTCGGTCTCGTGATTGGCGAGGCATCCTTACTGTCTCTTCTGCGTATATTGCTTCTCGCCCTGGCGCAGGCCCTCCTCCCGCTCCCTACGTTTCCCCCATCCTCGCCCTCCTGTTTTTTCGCGCCCCGTCACCTCCTCCCCTTGCTATTGTATGAGCGCGCATGCCGTTTTTCCTCGGCGCCGTCGCCGCCTCGGCCAGCACGGGCGCGCTCTCTTTACCATGTCGCGCAACCGTTGGGACAACCCCGTCGTTGCGCGCTTTGGGGCGTAAGCCTAGGTTCTAGTAGGTCTAGTGGAGTCAGAGGGATACAATATATTTGTAAAACGGGGAGGAGAAGGACGAGGATGAGGAGGAGGAGGAGGAGGAGAGGAGGGGGGGAGGAAAAGGGAGGAAACTACAGGAGGAGGAGGGAGGGAACTGGAGGAAGACGAGGAAAGAATGAGGGAGGGAGGGGGCCCATACGCAAGCTATTCGGGCTTCTAGGGATTCCCGTGAAGCCCCGGACAGAGAGGGAGAGAGGGAGGGAGGACGATGATGACGACGGGGCTACTCACATACGAGGCCCCACTCGATATGCCAGCGAATTCAGACCTGAAGAGCCCAAGCGTGACGACAGTTACAGGAATCGAACGACCCGCTCGGATTACCAACGGAGCCAACAAGTGACGACAGTTACAAGAATTCCATGACCCGCTTCGGATTCGAACATGAAGTCCGGGCCCCTCAGGGAGGGGGTTCCCGCCTGAGACTTCCTCACAAGTGACTCACAGACGATGCTCCCGCCTGATACTTCCTCCATATTCTAGCCTGAGTAGCCCAAAAGTTACGACAGTTACAGGAATTGTATGACCCGCCACGGATTAATAACATGATCTGCGGGCCCCTTAGGGAGGGGGGTCCCGCCTGAGACTTCCTCATAATTCACTCACAGACGAAGCTCCCGCGTCATAGTTCCTCCAAATTCAGGCCGGAGTCACCCAAAAGTGACGACAGTTACAAGAATTGTGCGGCCCGCACAAATTAGTAACATGATCTGCGGGCCCCTTAGGAAAAGGGGGCTCCCGCCTGAGACTGCCTCACAATTCACTCACAGACGAGGCTCCCGCTTGATATTTCTCCAAATTCAGGCCTGAGTAGCCCAAAAGTGACGACAGTTACAAGACTTGTATGGCCCGCCGCGGATCATTAGCATGATCCGCGGGCCCCTTAGGGAGGGGGCTCCCGCCTGAGATTTCGTCACAACTCACTCCTCACTCGCAGACGAGGCTCCCGCTTGATATTTCTTTCAAATTCAGGCCTGAGGAGCTCAAAAGTGACGATTGTTACAGGAATCGTATGACCCCCGCCACGGATTAGTAGCATGATCCGCGGGCCCTTTGGGAAGGGGGTTCCCGCCTGAGACTCGTCGCAATTCATTCACAAACGAGGCTCCCGCCTGATACTTCCTCCATATTCAGGCCTGATGATGATGGTGAATGGTCGATGGATGATTGTGTTGGTGATGGTGAAGCTGATGTTGATGGTGATGAGTGGTGATGATGATGAGTGATGATGATGACGAGTGGTGATGACGCGGTGTTGACAATGACGATGCTGATGATAATGAGTGATGATGATGAGTGGGTGATTGAGTGAGTGAGTGAGTGGGTTTCTGAGTGAGTGAGTGTGTGTGTGTGTGTGTGTGAGTGAGTGGATGTTCCTGTTCCTGTTATTGCGCGGGGTGTCCAGAGAAAAGAAGACCCCCACTTTAGATTTGGGAGTACTAATAGGAATAATCGTAAGACGAATGGGAAGAAGAAAACGAACAAGACGGAAAAAGGAATCGAAGACAACAACCGCGGACGTATAATCTTTGCCGTCCTCCTGGCTCCACCAGCATGATGCGTCTTCTCCGCATCCTCTGTTCAACTGAATCGCGTCGCCCTCTGCTGCTGGTCCTCCCTCAGGTTGCTCGCGTCGCTAGGCTTGGTCGGTTGGTTGGATTGCAACTCGGCTGGTTGGCTTGTTGTCTGGCAGTTGTTGGCAGTTGATTTGGGCTGTTCGCTGGATGCCTTGTTGCGCGCGCCAGTAGTATGTCCTGAGGGATGGTGGCCTCGGGAGCGCGCTTACGCGTCGAGTTACTCGGATTCGCAGCTTCGGGAGCGCGCATCCCCAGCTAGTTCAAATGTTTCGTGAGCTCGAGTCCAGAGCCGACTCCCCAGGAAACGACGGATCGGGTGAGCAACGCTCCCCGAGCTCGTGCCACAACCCAGACAATCATAGTTGTCTTGCTTTGGAAAAGGGACTTGAGCGGCGGTCTGCGGCAACCTCCAGAGGGCGTGGCCGCGGGACGCAACAGGGAAGTCATTTCGGGGGGGCTGTGACCTCGGGAGCGCGAGCCTGCTGTAGTTTACAGCGGATGGTGGGCTCGGGAGCGCCAGCGCGTCGTAATTTCCTAGGGGTTAGGGGAAATTGTCGCTTTGAATTTCGGGGATCCACGTGATAAAAGAAAGCACGATGTCTGGGGTCTGGGCTTCATGCGTGTTGGGTGCAACTCCACGCGCGCGTGCGCGCGCAAGCTCATAGAAGCCGCGCTTCCCGCTCTTGTCCGGAATGTTGCCCCCCAAACTTGCCGTTTCGCTCGAGACATCGTCGAGCAAATGGGATCTTCAAGGACGTGGTGCAAGACGTTTTATGTTAAACATGCGGCTCCCGCTCGAGGCATCCTCCGAACAAGTGAAATATCCAGGGATCTTGCGAATTCGTCGAAATCTTGAGAATGAGGCTCTCGCTCGAGGCATGCTCGAAACAATGGGATGGTGGACGAGCTGTTTCAAGACGTCTTCTGTTCCAAATGGGGCTCTCGCTCGAGACATTCTCGAGACATGTAGATCTTCAGGGAGTTTGTGAATCGAGACAGTCCAAGAGGGGCCCAAGAGAGCTCCGAGACTGTTCAATAGCGCTCCAAGACGGTCCACGATACCCTTCATCAGCTTCCTTATCATCAGTATCATCATCAGTACCATCGTATCATCATCGCCATCATGTTCCTCCGTTCTTGTGCCTGGCAGCAAGAGCTCTCCTTCTCTTCCTTCCTCCGTCTGCCTGGCCACCGTTTTGTGATGGTTGTCGTCCTGCCGACATCTCCCCTGGACGCCCTCCTACCTCTCCCCTGGACGCCCCGCAATACCTTTCCCCCCTCCCCTCCCTGCAAAGACCCTTGCAAAACCATGCCGAAGCCCCTGCAGAACCCCCCCAAGACCGCGCGCAAAAGACCCTGCGAAGACACCTGCTAAGACCTTAAACGTTGGGGTTGCCACCTATGTTTCCACATTCGGCTGGTCACCCATGTGCACACACTTGGGTGGCCACCCGTGCGCACATGTGTGTTGGGTGCAAGTCCGTGCGCGCACGCAATCTCAGAGAAGCGGCGCTTCCCGATCTTGTGCGGATAGGTTGCACTGGGCACCCAGGCTGGCGGATTTTTGAAAAATGGCCGTTTCGCTTTAGACATCCTCCGAAAATCGACCTTGGATGGGGACTCCCAATCGACGTCGTGTTCGAATCGCCCCCAGAGGGCTTTCAAACGGCCCCAGGGAGGCCCAAGGGACGCCCTGGAGGGCCCTAGGAGCGCCCAAGAGCGCCCAAGAGCGCCCCAAGAAGACCCCAAGATTCCCCCCAAGATCGCTCCAGGAGCCACCCAGACAGCTCACAAGAACCTCAAGACGGCCCAAGGGGCCAAGAAGACCCCAAGAGACTCCCAGCAGCGCCCCAGGAGGCTCCCAAACGGCACAAGAAGCCCCAAGACGGCCCAAGATGGCGCCGAGACGGCATAAGAAAGCTCCCACAGAACCCCACGACGCGCCCAGACAACCCAAGAAGACCCCAGAAGCCTACAAGAGGACCCAAGAGGCCCCCAAGAAGCCCCCAACAGGCCCCAAGACAACCCCGCGCGGCGCCAGGAGCAACGTCCTTCTACAATTGCCTCTTACTGTCCTCTGTCGTCGTCGTCGTCGTCGTCGCCCTCCGCATTCCTCCTCGTACTCTCCCTCGTTCTCTTCGTCCTCGTCCTTGTGCTTCTCTTCCTCCTCGTTCTTGTCCGATCAGGTTTCGGCCATCTGGGAAGCCCGAACACTGCCTCCAACACCGAGATCGGGATGACCTTTCGGTGGAGGCAACCGCGATATTGGTGCTGGTGCGAACCTCTGAGCCTCCCACGACCGATCCGATGCCGACCAGTCCTGCCCCCCGGCGGCAGAACTGGTCGCATTACGCCGAGCCGGGCGAGCTGCGCCCCCTGCTCGAGAAGCTGGAGGCGGCCGGCAAGAAGCTGATGCTGGTCTCCAATTCGCCCTATTGGTGCTGGGGCGCGTCCTGCCTTTGCTTCTCGCCTCAGCTCGAAGAAGAGAAACGGGCATCAACATAAATTCTCGGCGCTCCGCACGGATTTATTGGATCTGCGCGGGGCCCCCCTGGCGCTGGCGCGCGCGCGGATATCCGAAAGGTTCTGTTTATACCGGTTCTTCTTCTGTCAGCGGCACCGCAACGGGTATTCTTTGACAGGTATTTTGTGAATGGCCGAAAGTATGTTTTTGCAGGGTTTCTTTCGGACGTAGCGGCAAGATTGCATCGGAGGGATGGTTGGGTTCGCCGTGTCCCTGGCCAAAGTGCCCATCAGTAACGTGCCCGTCAGGGGGTCGTTGGCTCGCCTCGTGAGGCCCGAAATGGGGACGAGCAAAAGTGGAGGCGTTGACTAGAGGTGCAGGCTAATGCGGTGGTTTCTACTCCTCTGCCCCCTCGTCCCCCCTCTCCTTTACTACTTTTCCCTCTTCCTGCCGCCGCTCCTCGGTCGCGACATTCAGGACCGCCCTGTGACTGAACCCCCCATTTGCCACCCTCTTCCCTCTTCTCTGATGGAAGGCACGAGCGCGCCTCATTCCGCCATTCCAGCCATTCCGTCTCTAAATACTCCTTCTTCCCCTTATCCGACTCCAACTCCAACTCCGTACGCGATATTATTGTTCATACGCTTCCCAGTTATTGCCGGGTGGGAAAATATCCTGGGCGGATGTCCAGACAATGATGTCTACGAGGAAGGTCGGGGTTGTCGATGGGGTTGTCCAGAATTGCTCGGATGACCAAACCGGCGTTGCGTGCGCCCTTCCTCCCGACCGGCCCCTCATGTGGTCATCATTATCCTCCTTCTTCATTCCGGTGCGTGATCAGACGGAGGCGAGGAGGGGAGGGGAGGGATATTTCGAAGGTGGGGTGAGAAGGGGTGGGAGAAGGGCGGAGGAGTGTCATGGGATGGGGATGACAGGAGGGGAGGAGGGAGGAGGAGGAGGATGAAGAGGAGGAGGAGGAGGAGGAGGAGGAGGAGGAAGAGGAACAGGAGCAGGAGGAGGAGGAGGAGGAGGAGGAGCAAGAGCAGGAGGAGGAGGGAGAGGAAGCAGGAACACCAGCAGCAGCAGCACGAGGACTTCCTGCTTGATTGCTCATTTCCCCCGCCCCCACCCTGCCCAACCCATCGGGGCAGGTACGTCAATTCTGGCATGTCTCACGCCGTGGGAGACGCCCGCCGCCTTGCCGCGGGAGGGGTGTCGTCCTCCTCCGCCGCCCCTCCTTGTCCCTTTGCTTCTTCCTCCCAGCCCCTCTCCTTCCTAACGTTCCTCCCTTTTGCATCCTCCTTTCCTCGTCCTCCTCCTCCTCCTCCTCCAACCGCTGCCTTGGCTCTGGTAAGCGATGCGGCCACAGCGAGGCCACACTGTGTCAGATTTTGTTTGCGTCAGAGGAGGGCGGCCTCGTGCTCGGACTGAGGCGCTGCGCGGCAGGGTTCGCGGGGCGCGTTCGGATATCCAGGCCGGCGACGGGCCGCCGGGCGCAACGCCCCCGGCCGCCCTCCCCCCCGCCCCCCAGAGGTACATCATGGGCCCGCTAGGTTTTCCGATGACTTCCTTCCGAGTCTCATCCCAGGGGGGGTTCTCTCTGGGCGAGAGGGCGAGTGTCGCCGCCGCGTTCAGGCCATAGGCAACCTGAGCCTGCTGGCCAACCTGCGGCCGCTCGTCACGCTGGGCGGTGGGGCTGCCGTGGTGCCGATAGCGCTGGCGGGCCCCGCCTTGGGCTTGTTGCGCGGGGCTGCTCCGGCTGGACGTGGTGCCGGAGCTGGCGACCCCGCGGGGGTGTGACACGCCGCGGCCTGATGGCGGCTATCGCATCGGCGACGAGGTGCCTGGTCATGTGGCCACCGCCGCTCGCGTGCAGGATCGTGGCATCCACGTGTTGCCAGATGGCCAGGGCCTCTTCGTAAAGTTGGTGCCGCCTGCAGCCCAGGAGGATTTCTTACAGAGGGCGGTCGACGCCGACGCGAGGATCCTCCCGATTGTGCGCGACGCTCACGGCCGCAGGGACGTGCCGTGGCATAAGATGGTTGAGATGATTCGCTAGGAGGACTTCGGATCAGACTGGGCGCTGCCGGGTCCCAGGACCGCTGGATGGTGCATGAACTATCTTCAGCGCGAGGGCTTCGGCCTAGAGGGTCACCACGAGCACTTCCGCCAGATCTGCAAGCTGGGCGCCACAGGCTGGGGCGTCCAGGAGCAATGCGAGCTGCGCCGGCAGATCATGGCGGCGACCTGCCAGGACCTCTGGGATGGCACGAACTTGATCAGCGTAGAGATGAAGTTCAGGAGGCTCCAGACCATCCAACTCGCGCACTGGGGCAAGGCGAAAGACGCTGAGAGCAACGGCGTCGGGGGCAAGGTGAGTCTGGAGGAGAAGGCCGCTTTTTCGGGTGTCTCGCGATCTACATCGCCAGCGACGGCCTCGACTGAGCTGGTCGAGCATGCGCGGGGCGACGTTGATGAGGAGGCAAAGTTGCACAAGTGTCTGCGCCTGGCCCGCGAGGGGGGGGGGGTCCAGGCGCAAAATGGTGGATTCGAGCGGCCGCGCTGGCATCGGAGGGGGTGCCAGCGCGATTATGCTACCCCTCCACCAGGGCGATCACAGTGAGCCTGACCACGCCCCAGATGTCCATGATGTTGGTCGGCGCCGGCGCCAGGACATCTTCCTTCTGCCCTACCCTTTCGCCAGGGGGCCACTGGGCACAGCTGCTTCCCGCGCGCCCCTTTACTGTGGCGTGATCTCGGTGCCCAGCGGCCCCCGTCCGTTGGTTGCGTCGACGCCTCCCCGTGGGGCTTTGGCGCCTGCGGGGCCGATTGGGGAGTGGCTGCTGTTCGGGAGGTCGGCCGTCATAGCGAGCGGCGGCGCCATGGCAGGGCTGAGCGCGCGCGCCCACGACGCCGAGCTCTTGCCGCTGAATGCGCCGCCGAGGGGGCCGCAGCCAGCGGCCCGGGGCTGGGCGTCGCCGATTTTGCGCCAGGCAGCCTGCCCGACGACAGCCAGCCCGTCGGCCCGCCAGTCGAGCGGGGCCCGATTGTTTTTCCCGAGGCGTCGAATACATATCTTGAAAGGCGTCGTTGGCACGCGACTGGCCGCCGCAAGTGGGGTCGTCTCGAAGGGGGGCCTGTTCTTGAGGCCCGAGCCGTTCATTGCCACGTTCGCCATGCTTCAAGGGCGCCTCGGAACCACAGTCAGAGGTTGCTCGTCTTTGGCGTCGGTCTCTGCCGCGGCCCGGACGAGGGTTCGCAGCCTCAGTATGCGGGGCATCATGCGTCGCATTGGCGCCCTCTCTTCGGCGTCGGGAAGCTCGTTCTGCGCGCGCTGGACCCCCTCAAAGCGCAACGTTGCGGACGGCCCATCTCGGGGCCGATGGGGGCCCCAGCTAGCCGACGCCAGCGGCCCTTAATGAAGCCCCTGACAAGCCCCCCGACCATGCCCCCGTGCAGGAGCCCCCGATCGTGGACTACAGCACGCGCGCCATTGAGGAGTGGCAATTACCTGCGCAGGTGGATGGAGGAGGTGAACAGCGCAGGGGGCGCGCACCTGGACGCCGCAGAGGGAAAGCACAGGGAAACACACATCATCGTGAGCACCTGCCAGGGCAGTATCATTCGCGCGAGTGCGAGGTGGAAGAGGGGCCTGAGGGGCGGCGCGACAGCGCGGAGGGTTCCAGCAGCCAGGGCGTCTCGGGCATCAACGGGCCGCTGGTCTTCGGCAGCTGTCTGGCCCAAGAGTTATGTTGTATATTCCCATGTGTTGGCGATTGCCTTCACCTCGGTTCTCGCGGCGCTTCAGTCGGTGATGTGCTTGGGTCTACTCCAGGGGCATCCTCGTTAGCGGCCCGCAGCTGCCCTGGGCGGGGCGCCGCCTTCGCCTGGCCTGGCCCGCGCGGATGCCGGCTCGCCCCAGGGGGCGCTGCCTGCGCCCATCCTCCGGGGCTCGGACTCGGCCCGCCAGGCCTCGAGCTCCCGGCCGACGCCCCAGGAGCGGGCGCGCCTGAAAGACGCGCCTGCTGCCATGCCCGCGCTGAACGCGGCGTCGGCGATGACCCAGGCTGGCCGACGGGCGCGCGTCCGCATGCCGAAGGGGTTCGACGAGAGGATCCAGCAGCGTCGCATGGCGGCGGCCGCCCCCGCGGACATGGGCGCCCTGGTCCGCGACTGCATCCGCCGCCTGTTCAACCGCGGCTACCGCCAGACCCGCGCCAACCGCGTGATCGCGGCCATCGCGCGGAGGGGCCTTCGCTTCGCCATGGCGGGGCCCTTCGACCTGCCACTCGCGAAGCAGGCGGCCAGGGGATGGCGAGACCTCGCGCCGCCCCGCAGTCGCATGGCGCTGCCGTGCGAGGTCGTGGCTATGATGGTGAACGACTTGTCCTAGCATCGCAACGCGCCGGAGGCGTTCTCGATCCGGCTCCTCCTCGAGGTCCACGGCCGCCCCCGCGAGATCCATGGGCTGCGGCATCAGGGCGCCGCGCCGCTGGCGGCGTCGGCATCGGGTGCCCATCGGTTTGTCTCCGCGGCTCCGCCGCCAGGAGGTCGGCAAGGTCTCGGGGACAGGCGAGTTCGACGCGTCCGCGCGGCTCGACCTCGACCGGCAGGCGGCGGTGGGAGCGGGCCTGATGGCGATGGCACTGGCCCGTCGCCGCGGCGGAGCCCCGCCCGCGGCGCCTCACTTCGAGGTCAGCCAGCGCGAGGTGGCCAACGTCTGGCGCAAGGCGGCGGCTGCGCTGGGCCCCGCGAGGCTGGGGGCTTGCCACGTCTACCGGCTTCGCTGCACTCGGGCCCCAGCCACGACTGCGCCGCAGGGATGCGCGACCTCGAGCAGACCCGCCGCTGGGGCCGCTGGAAGTCGTGGAGCTCTGTGCGCAGGCGCGAGAAGGGCGGGGGACTGACCGAGCAGTTGCACAGATTGCCCATTGCCCGGCGCGGGCACGAGGAGGCTTGCGCGCGCCTGCTGAGCTAGCCCAGGCACGGCCTGCCTTCGCCGCTGGCGCCTGTCTGCCCGACCAGCCAGCGATCTTGGACGTGCTCTCGCCGCCCAAGGCATGCCAGTGCTGATGTGGGACGCCGTGCCCAATGTGATTTGTCGCGCCCAGCCAATCGTTCTCTCAGTCTCTCGCGGGTGCGGGCTGGTCGCGTGGGAGGTTGGCATGCTGGCATTCCTTGCAGTGCGCTCGCGCGTTGTCGTGACCGTAGTGTGTTGAGGCGCGCCTGTTCGTTCTGATGCCCATCTCCTTGGCCGTCCTTGTCTCAAACTTTCTCTGCGAGCTATTGTTGAGGTGTCCAAGTGTCTCAATAGTTGCATTGCTACTCCTGCGCGGGCGCGCCTGTCCCTACACATTCACCGGGGCGTCGAGAATCCCGAGACTTCCAGGCTGCGGCTGCTGCCCCGTTTCAAAGCCCCCAGCTCGCCGCAGAGGCTTTCTTTTCCACGCCGCCACCACGCGTCAGTGGGGCGCGGCCTGGAAGAAACATGCCGGGCTGATGTCTGGCGATCTCGACCCGGGCCCATGTAGATATTCTCGCCGCGTAGGCTCCAGGCGCGGACTTTGCAGCAATATTCATCGGCCCCATCAAGAATTCCAGGGCTTCCTGCCCAGGGGTGGATTCATAACTACATAAACAAGGTAACTACATAAACAAGTTTTGCGTTGCATTGGCCCGTCTTTTCCACTACGCTGAAGTCAGGGCTTCTGCAGAGATCGTTCAGAGAGCGTTGAGATAGTTCGTGTTGTGTTTTCTCTCTCTCTCTCTCTCTTCCCTTTGGTCTTCGACGTTGCCAGATTGCTCAGCAAAAACCGGGCGACTTTGACTTCGGGGCGTCTCCGCCTTTTCGAGTCTTGAGTTTGCTGTAAGCGGGGCGGTGGCCCCGACGGCAGGATCCTGATGCTGCTCGCTCTCTACATGCACTGGCAGGAAAAGCGCGTGGTAAGGATTGTCGTGATTTCGTAGGTTTCCGACGCGCTCTTTGGGGCCGCCGCCGCTTTATCTCGCTCAAGTTTTCCGCCCTTTCCTCTCCTCCACCCTCCTCGCTTCAATGGGTGATTTTGACTTCAGGGCTTCTCCGCCCTTTCGAGTCTTGAGCTTGCTGTATGCGGGGCTGCGACCCCGACGGCAGGATCCTGATGCTGCTCGCTCTATACATGCACTGGCAGCAGAAAGTTTGCTCAGGAATAATGTCAGTAATGATAATAGTAGTAATGACGGCGACAGTAAACTCCGGATGACAAATGCAAGCTGGCACCCTGCAGCTTCTCGACGTTTCGTCAGAAGGGGCGGGCAGGCTGTGTCCCCGATGTGTGCCGACATCGGGGGGCAATGGTCCGTAGTTTTATTCATTAGAAGCTTTAAATAACTATTTCAGGCCTCAGGCCGGGTTCAGGTAATTCCCCCTCACAGTTTTTTCTCCGTGTCGCGCTGGATGCACATCCGAACCCAGCAACAGACAGAAAAGCAAACATCATCATCAACCGTCATGAAGCATTTTTTTGTCCAGGAGCTTTCACATGGCTACTAAAGGTTTCCAGAGGCCCCCGCACGTTTTGGACAGTTCCTAGAATGGAGAAACGAAATATTCGAGTTGGCCAGAGCTCAGGTTTACCGCCGCCGATAGATGCGTCCAACGGAGCCCTCGTCGAATTTCAAAATGAAGGTCCTTCAACTTTGAGACGGTCCCGTCAGCCACATCCGAGTCTCTCGAATTCGAGTCTTACGCCGCCCCGGCTGGAGGGATGAGGAAACGTACGACTCTCCGATGTTTCGTAGTCGTGTCTTTGGATGCTTGAGAAATTTGTGATAATGCGAAAATGTGAGAAGATGAAGGAAACGGAACCGCCGATGCCAGAAGCTCCGGCGGCGTGGCGCAGAGCTCTGGAAGGGTGGTTGCATTTCCGCGCTGCGATGCTAGGTTCCATCTCCATCGGGGGCGTCCGCGTGTGGAGAACCGTAGCCGTAACTGACTTGAGGGAGGAGGGGGCCCGAAATCCTGGGCGTCGTGGGCAAGATCAGGACGGGCGCCCTCGCCCCGACTCGGGGCTGCTTCCTTCGGTGCTCGGAGTTCTCGAGAGCCTCAAGACGGTGTCACCAATGCCCCGACTGCCGTTCCGTGGGCAATGCTAAGTACGCTTGGGAGGCAGGGTTGTCTACGTCTCGGTGGGTTCGATAGTGGGCGCTGTCGTTGGCGCCAGTGTCGATGGATCCGACCGCGCACCCCCGAAAGCATCTCCCATGCGCGGAGTGTGTTTCGATTTGGTCGACACCGTCAGCGATCCTATCTACGATATGGGCAGCGTCTGGGCAGCTATGGGATGATTGCAGCGGAGGGCGAGTGTCAAACATCAAGTGATCATGATGCGCGATCTTGCCCGTCGCACGTCGTTGGCCTACACTTGCATTATCTCTTTTGTCGACTCGGAGGGAATAGCAGGGCGCGTTGCCTTGTCTTGCAGTCTGCTCGCCGCACCGCATAGGAGATGATTGGAAGAAATTGTTCGATGTTGTCGTCGTTGACGCCGGGAAGCCTAAGTTTTACACCGACGACCGCCCGTTCAGAGAGGCAGTTTGGGCAACGATCGCATCATACTATCAGCAGAGAGGGAGTAAAACATATATTTATTTGGAAGGCGTCTGGGGGGGGTAGTTGGTCCTTCGGCGGCTAGTCGTGGGCCTCCTTGGAACCGTCTTGGGTGGTATTGGTGTGTGGGACTGAATCGGTGCTCTCCAGGAGGCCTCCCAGTCCGTTGGGATGCGGTCCTGGGAGACCCGACGGCTAGCTGAAAGCCCTCTTGTTTCCCACGCAGCGCTTGTACTTTGGTATTCTTACCTTTTCCCCATACAGTCCTTGCACTTAGGGTTTTCTCATTTCTTCTTTCAGGAAATATGCCTGTCTGTCGCTCTGGCGGCTATGTTGCCGCTGTCGCCGCCTCGTCGCCGCCCGTCGTCTGGGGCTGTCTGCCGCTCTAGCGGCTATGGTGCCGCCGTCGCCGCCCCGTCGCTGCCTCGTCGCCGCCCGTCGTCTGGGCATGTCCGCCGCTCTGGCCGCCATTTTGCTTCCGTCGCTGCATCGTCGCCGCACAGAGCATACATTGCACAACACGTAGGTTCCACCATATTGAAATGGCCTCCGGCCAGTGCCGCCGATCCGGGGCGCTCTGGATGATGATGATGATGATGATGATGATGATGATGATGATGATGATGATGGTGATGATGATGTTGATGATGATGTTGATGATGATGATGATGATGATGATTGTGGTGATGATGATGATGATGATGATGACTATGACGACGATGACGACGATGACGATGACGATGACGATGACGATGACGATGATGATGATGATGATGACGATGATGCTGATGATGATGCTGCTGATGATAATGATGATGATGATGATGATTTTGATGACGACGATGATGATGATGATGATGATGATGATGATGATGATGATGATGATGATGGTGGTGGCGATGGTGGTGGTGTTGGTGGTGGCGATGCTGCTGCTGATGATGATGATGATGATGATGATGATGCTGATGTTGATGATGATGCTGATGACGATGATGCTGCTGATGATGATGATGATGATGATGATGATGATGATGATTAGGAGGAGGAGGAGGAGGAGGAGGAGGAGGATTTTGATCATGGCAATGACCATGATGTCGATCATGATGATTGTGATGGGGATGGGGATGCTGATGCTGATGATGATGCTGGTGATGGTGATGGTGGTTGTGATGGTGATTAAGATGTGGCGCCCGGGACTGTCCAGGATCGCTCTCGGGATTGCCCGTCACCGCGTCTGGCACCGCGCAGGACCCCGCCCGGGACAGCCGGGACGGGCTGGGAGCGCCCGGGACCGCTCGGGACATCCAGAGCGCGTTCCATTCCGGGGAGGTGCCCGGGGGTTCCGGGGAGGAGTTCCGGTGGAGGGTCCTGGGGAGGGTCCCGGGACGGTCTCGAGGAGGGTCTTGGGGAGGGTCCTGGGACGGGTCCCGTCCGATCTGGGGAAGGTCTCGGATACCCTCCCGAACATACTCGGGATGGGGAAATCAATCAGAAAAGGGGTTCCCCAGGGTGGCGGGCGGGACGAGTCAATTAAATGGTCGGTTAAAAACGTTTTTCTTCCCTCCTTCCCCCCTCCTTTCCTTTCCCGGCAGACCCACCCCGGCCACACCCTTTTGGGGGGGGTCCTTGGGGCCGAGTTGGGGCCTCTTGGGGGCGTCTTGAGGCCTCCTGGGGGCTTCCCGGTCGTCTTGGGCCCTTCTTGGGCCGTCTTGGAGCCCGTTTGGGCGCCTCTTGGGCCCGTCCTGGGTCCCTGTTGCGCCGTCTTGGGGGCCTCCTGGGCCTGCGCAAGCCCTTCTTAGGCCGTCTTGGAGCCTTTTTGAGGGCCCCTTGAGCCGTTGTGGACACTGTGACGGCCCAAGAGGCGAACATGCTAAACATGTAGGTTTTCCCAAGGGAAATCGATGATTTTGACCGCTCGGGGCCCTTTTGGGAGACCTCTTGGGGGCCTCTGGGGGCGTCTTGGCGGCCTCTTGGGCTTGGGTTCATGTTCGGCGTCTTGGATGGATTTTTGAGCGATCCAGAAACGTCTTGGCCCGTCTTGGCGGCTTCTTGGCAACGTTTGGGCCCGTTTTGGCCAACCGAACCCCGACCAACCGAACCCAATCTGTGGAAGACCCCCCCCTACCCCGGCAGAGCCACCCCGGCCCAGCCCCCCCCTTCAGCTCACATTGCACAACACGTAGGTTCCACCATTTTATATTGTAGTGGCCTCCGGCCAGTGCCGCCGATCTGGGGCGTTCTGGACGATGATGATGATGATGACGACGACGAGGATAATGATGGTGATGATGATGATGATGCTGATGAAGATGATGGTGGTGGTGATGATGATGATGATGATGATGATGCTGATGTGACGATGGTGATGGTGATGGAGATGGTGATCCCACCCCCCATCACCCTCTCTCCTCTTTTCTGTCCCCCCGCCTCTCTCTCTTGTCCCCCCGCCTCCCCCCCTCTCTCCTTTCCCCCTCCCTCCCTCCCTCTCTCCTGTCCCCCCCCTTCTCTCCTGTCCACCCCCCCACACTCCCCCTCTCCTGTCCCCCCCTCCCCCCCTCTCTCCTCCCCCCCCCTCTCTCCTGTCCCCGCCCCCTCTCTCCTGTCCCCCCCCTCTCCCCCCCCCTCTCTCCTGTCCCCCGCCCCCCCCCCCTCCCCCCCTCTCTCCTATCCCCCCCCGCCCTCTCTTCTTTCCCCCTCCCCCCCCACTCTCTCCTGTCCTCCCCCCCTTTTTCCTGTCTTCCCCTCCCCCTCTTCCACCCCCCCCCCCTGTCTCCTGCCCCCCCCTTTCTACTGTCCCCTTTTCCCCCCCCCCTCTCCCTGTCCCCCCCCCCCCCTCTCTCCTGTCCCCCCCCCCCTGTCTCCTGCCCCCCCCTCCTCTCCTTTTCCCTCCCCCTCCCCTCCTCTCTCCTGTCCCTTCCCCCTGTCCTGCCCGCCCCCCCTTCTCTCCTTTTCCCTCCCCCCCCTCCCTCCCCCCCCCCCTCCTGTCCCCCCCTCCCCCCTCTCTCCTGTCCCCCCCCCTCCTATCCCCCCCCCCCACTTTCCTGGGAGCTGGCAGGGTGGGGGGAGGTGCCGAGCACATAGTTCGTCAGGTAATTACTTTCCCCCTTTCCCTCTTTGGCAGGGTGGGGGGAGGTGCCGAGCACAAAATTCGTGAGGTAATCACGCCCCCCCCCGATTGGAGATGATGGCAGTACTAGGTAACCGATTGTTTCTAAAAAGAGAGGTTGTTCAAATTGTGTTGTTGTGATTTTCAAGCTGTAATCCGCATAGAAGGGTCCATGCTGTGACAATTTGAACAACAGCAGAAGTTACAAACAAACAGATTATATAACAAATCCTTGAGCTCAGGGGGAGGTCGGTAGCGAGTCCCTGAGGTCCTGGATATATTGTTTTTGAAGTATTCAAATGGAAACACAAATAGTCGTTTTGTAATCCGCCACAAAAGGGATCCTTCTGTAATCCGCCACACAACGAATCAATTTCTATTCCGGCACAGTGGGAGTATATGTGTAATTCGCGACAAAGGAAATCAATGTGTAATCCGCCATAAAAGGATTTCTTGTGCGCCAATTTGAAGAATTTCAAAACTTACAACAACTGCAAATATCAACAAACAGTTTATCTTGGAATTCAGGGGAAGGTCGGTGTCGAGACCCTGAGGTCCTGGATCATTTTCTCAATTCCTTTAATTTCTGAAATTCCTGTGTTTTTTTTTCGAATTTTCGCAAAAACTATTTTTTCCTGCACAAAAAGGAATCCTTTTGCAATCCGCCATAGAAGGAATCACATTGTAATTCGGCACAAGGGAGTCAATGTGCAATCCGCGATAAAGGACATCAGTTCGTAATCCGCCACAAAAGGATTCATTGTGTGCCAATTTGAAAAATGTCAAAGCTTGCAAAAATCACAAAACATGATAACAAAATTATCTTGGAATTCAGGGGAAGGTCGGTGGCGAGTCCCGGAGGTCCTGGTGCATTTTTTGTTTCAAGCATTTTGGGTATTTTTTTGTATTCTTGTCACATTGAAACAAGAGTAATCCTTTTGTAATCCGCCACAAAAGGAATCTTTTTGTAATTCGCCACACAAGGAATCAAATTGTATTCCGGCACAAAGGGAATCAATTTGTAATTCGCGACAAAGGAAATCAGTGTGTAATCCGCCATAAGAGGATTATTTTTCGTGTTTTTTTTTTGTTGTTTTAATATATATATATATATATATACACATATATATATATGTATATATATGACTTCCACATCCTCAGAGATCTTGGGCGCACCAGCAGGCGCACGCACCCGCATTAAACTGTGGTGCATAATCGAGTTCGCACGCGAGAACCCTAACGTGCAGTTCCGGTTGGGTTGGGCGGGCGGACCTTTCCAGGCGGGTCGGCGAGTGGCGCCGGCGTTGGAGGCGGAGGGAGGGGGGGGGGAGGAGGAGGAGGAGGCGCATTCATTTTCTATTGTTTTGTTGGCAGGAAAAAGTGGTATGTTTTTGAATTGTCGGGCGTGGGTCCAGGGTCTGAGACAATCGCTCGGCACATCAATTCTCGATTGTTTTAGAAGCAGGGAACTATTGTCTTTCGTGAATTTTCAGGCCGGGGCCTGGGGTTAACAGTCAATCAATCGTTCGGTATATTGATTGTCTCCTGTTCTACAAGCAGGAAACCATGGTATTTTTTTGAATTTCTGGGCGGGGGTCTGGTATCTGACAGACAAGCGTCACTTTCATTTTCCATTGTATTAAAAGCAGGAACTATGGTCTTTTCTTGAATCTTCGGGCCGGGGTCCCGGGGTTTGACAGACAATCGTTCGGCACATTCCTGTTCTATTGTTTTAGAAACTGGAAACCATTTTTTTTCTTTTTTGAATTTTCGGGCCGGGGTCTGGTATCTGATAAGCAGAGCTCGTTGGGGCTCGATCCCGCAGCGCGGAATCCTCTGGGGTCGAGCCCGCCGCAAATTGCATAATGCATTTTAA